GAAGTCCTCAAGTTGTTCTTCAACTCTATATATTCTTGGTTAGGCCTCATTTGGACTATTCTGCTCAGTTCTGGTCACCGTATAACAGAATGGATATAAATGCTCTGGAAAACGTACAGAGGAGGATGACAAAGATGATCCCATGTATCAGAAATCTTCCCTATGAGGATAGACTGAGGGCCCTGAATCTGCACTCTCTCAAAAGGCGTAGAATTAGGGGGGACATGATCGAGGTGTATAAATGGAAAACAGGAATAAATAAAGGGGATATAAATAGCATGCTGAAAATTTCTAGCCAAGACAGGACTCGCAGCAATGGTTTCAAGTTGGAAAAATTCAGACTCGGGAAGGATATAGGAAAGCACTGGTTTGGCAATAGAGTCGTGGATGAGTGGAACAAACTCCCGAGTACAGTTATTGAGGCTAAAATGTTGTGTAGTTTTAAAAATAGGTTAGATAAATACATGAGTGGGTGTGGGTGGGTGTGAGTTGGACCTAACTAGCTTGTGCTGCTGGGTCTGGTGCTGTGCTCCATCCTTGAGTGGAGGTGACCAGACTGGGTGGGTCATTGAGCTAATCGGGGGGAGGGGGGGGTCATTGGGCTATCCCTTGGGGGGGGACATGGACCTGTTCTGCATGGGTCAGTAGGCCTGTTGCAGTGTTCCTTCTTTCTTATGTTCTTATTATATAGCATTTCACCCACAGTGATGCTTTATCAAGTGATGCTGTATTGCTTTATAAAACATACAAGCATCCTGACATCAGATCAAGTGATAGAGAGGTCAGTGAAGGCAAAACAGGTGACACCAAGAAAGGGCAGACCCGGGATGCAGTTGATTTTAACATGAATTTAAATGTCATGGATAGGGAGAAAACTGTCCATCCGACCATTCCAAAACAATATCCCCACCTGCTTTTAACATTTCTATCTTGATCCCATCAATCCCAGCTGCTTTACCCAGTTTTATCCTACCCATAGCCTCATGCACCTTCCCCCCACACTCACATCTGGCTCTTTCTTGGTCCTAAAAGATGTCACACCTCTGCCCAATGCATGAAACCACTGTCTCCCTTTCTTCATCAACATTTAACAGCCCCCCAAAATATTCCCTCCATCTTTCCAATACCTCCACTTCCCCATCTAGTAACTCCCCTCTTTTGTTTTTAACTGTTAAATCTACTTGTTCCCTAGGCTTTCTCAACTTATTAATTTCACTCCAAAACTTTTTCTTCTCCCTCATTTGTTCTCATTTTGCATTCTATATGATTACAGAATGTGAACAAAAGCTAGCTATGTTACACAGGAGTGGAGAAGGAGGGGTAGGGTAATAATCAGGTTCAGCATCAGCACCAGAATTTCTACACTGGAGAGGCCTAGGGGTGGCTATCTGGTTGGAAGGGGGAAAATCTAGGAGATCTGTTCAGAAGCAGCATTATTATTATGATATTTTCATTTGGGGCGAAGCCCCCACTGGGACCACCTCTGATCAAGTTTGATCAGAGAATGGGAGTTGCTCAAATTCTTTTACTGACATCAAGCTCTTTCCCTGAATCATATGAAGACCTAGAGACTCAACATGTTAAGACAAATAAAATTTAATGGAAAAAAGCTCCTCCCCACCAAAGAAAAATTGCAGTTCACTTCCTGAAGGAAGACAGTAACCTACCTGTAATCTAGTTAGTGGCCTCTTATTCGCAGGATCAAGTGGAAAGATCTGCTCTGAGGCTAGATACAAATCCTTGCGAAAGGTGAGGCCTAAAACATCCAAATCTTCACGACCATAACGAAAAGCTGATAATACATGTCCGAACACTTTCCTGTCCTTCAGATACTCTGGATCAATGAGCACTACACCGTCTGCAAAAACAAGGAATTAGTACAAAAAATTCAATTGGACAAAGACAAAGAACTGTATCAGAGATTTGTGGAGAAAGAAAACAGAAGAGGAACTAGTTGTATTTCCAATGTTCCTCCCAGGAACTTCCTTCTAATAGCCTAAACTAAGTATTATGTAGCCTTTTCTCTATTCCAGACGTGACTGGTTTTGAGGATTATTCTACCTGTGCAGGCTACCTTGTTGACTACCTGCTGAACTGAAAGGTTAATGATAATGGCTCACAGGCTACATATCTATCACAACCTGACTGATCAAGCACTTGTAGTTGGTAGTAGTCTAGATTTCCCTTGAAGTTTTCTATCTTTAAAACTATCAAATGGTTATTGTATTACTATGCATAACCTCAGTGTCTTGCTTCCTCAGAAAACTTGTAAGCTTAGTTTTTTTTTTTTTAGATCTAAAACATTTCTCTTAAAACTGACAAGCCACATGGTAGACATATTTGACTGGTCAATTACTTCTTACAAATGTGAAAAGACCATATATAACGTTTTTATTAAAAGTAAGGTTGGATTAAAAAAAAATCCTATAATAATGACTTAAAATTGTGTGAATTTAATAATTTTCACTTCAGTTTTAATCAATGTCAAAAAGTATACATGAAGTAATTTTGAGCACTACCGAAAAATACAAAAGTCTTCAAAATTGCAAGCCTACTGCTCAGCTTAATGGTTTTACACTCTAGAGTTGAACCAAAAAATAAAAAGGTATGAGAAGAGAGCCATGGTTTGCTTCCAGTTAATGTGATAACTTTCAGTTAATGCTTCACTCAACACTAGTATGTACTAAGAATGCTCCACCAAAACTCACTTCGCATAACACACCAATTATTTGCAGCAAAAAGAGTTATTGTAAACATGCTGAAATTTGTCAAATGTTAACCCTTTGACTGTCGCGGCCGTATATATACGTCTTACGAGGTACCGTGTTTGACGTATATATACTCATAAATTCTAGCGGCTTCAAATCAAGCAGGAGAAAGCTGGTAGGCCCACATGTGAGAGAATGGGTCTGTGTGGTCAGTGTGCACCATATAAAAAAAATCCTGGAGCACGCAGTGCATAATGAGAAAAAAAAACTCACTGCTTTTTTAATTAAAATGCCGACTTTGTGGTCTATTTTCGTATAGTATTTATGGTTGTATTCTCGTTTTCTTGGTCTCATTTGATAGAATGGAAAACATATTATAGAAATAGAGGTGATTTTGATTGATTTTGCTATAAAAAGAACCTAGAAATGGAGCTCAAAGTAGGGGAAATGTTTGATTTTTGCCAATGTTCAAAAGTAAACAAATGATGCCATTGTCCAATAAATGTCCAACTAGCCATTCTAATATGCAGTCATGAATGGGTTGATGTTATTTATACAATTATTACAGTATTGCAGTAGTCTGCATAATAGTAAGTCTTCTATTTTTTGTTTGAATAAAAATTCAAAATAGAAAGCAAGAGTAATATCAGAAGGGCCTGGAGACATGACTGATGAACAAAGAAAATGTTATTTTAGAGCCAGGAATATCTGCATTGTTCATTCTGGACCTTATTTTGAAATTGTCATATTTTTTAGTTTTCGTGAAATTGGCCAAATTGCAAATTTCTGACCACATTATTAGGTAGTTGAAATCAGTAAATGGGCAGTTTCTTGTACTCAATCGATAGAAAAAATGAAGTTCTAAAGAAATAGCCATGAGTTTGGGCGACTGAAACAATGGAATTAGCCGAAAATAGGGTTCAAAGTGGGCGAAATCGCCAATTTGTAAACAGTGCCGAGGTCGCTAACTTCGCAAGGGCATAATTCCGTCAGTTTTCCATCAAATTTCGTTTTTTGGTGTCATTACAATCGGGAAAAGATTCTCTATCATTTCATAAGAAAAGATAATTTTTTTTTTAAATTTTGCGACACCAGGAGACACCTCAGGATTAGGGGTTGCGACAGTCAAAGGGTTAAAATCTCATATTCATGAACAAAGTAGGTCAAAAAAATATATTGCTAAGAAACGATTAACCAAGGGAACTTGCCTATTGGGTCTACATGTGTGATGTGGTCAACAAAATCTCTCTTCCCCAAGTACACTGTGATTTTTCCATTGGGAGAACTTTTCTTAAATACCCTGAAAGGAAATTAAAGAAAATAAAAACTTTGAAACAATACAGGAAATTGAGCGAAGAAATAAGTAATTATAAACATGATCTAAAACTGCCAAGTGCCATACAGGCAAGTTACAAGCAGACAGCAGCAAAGTTAAAATGATTTTTTTCTCTGGTAAAAGAACTTAGCTAACGTGTTTTCATTATGGCTTTAAATCTTGGATTGCCAACCAGTTAAAAGGGATATTTTATGAAGCCACCAATGTTTCAAAGTGTGAGGTCATCAAAACTCGGTGTTAATAAAATTGATGTCGTTGGCATTATTAAAAAGTACTGAAGCTTACTCCTTATTTAACTTGCCTCCTGAGAATCTGGGTAAATTATGTTGCCAAAATCGGGGAAAGAATTAAAAAAAAAAATGATCTAGAAATAGAAACCAGATACAATAAGTTCCCAAGTAGGTGAGGTGGACCTCTCTCTTTCCCAAGTCTCAGTAGAGCCCCAGCTGTTAATGAAGCTAAAACCTTGGGTGGCTTTGAAAATAGGTTGGATAAAAATCTGAGTGATAAGCATTGAATTTGAGAAGAACCTGCCTAGTAAGGGCCAGTAGGTCTGCTGCAGTGTTCATTCATGTGTTTTTATATTTTTAATAGGAGTGTATCAAAGTATCAGCAGTACTGCCCAATTTTCATGGTATCAGTGTCAGTGGTACTGGATAATTTTCATGGTACAGCCATCATCCTAAAACTGAGAATTGGTATCTGAAGAAATTTCTATCGCCCCATCACTAAATCTTAAGAAGAGGCTTTGTCCAGGCCTAGGTGATGATGACTGGCACCTTGGCCAGGGGACTGATGATGAAAACTGTCATGGAAAAAGAAACACAAATGCAGTATAATTAGGTATATATACAGTACACACACACACACACACACATAATATATATTATATATTATATATATTATATTTTATATATATATATAAATTTTATATATATATATATATATTAAATATA